TAGGCCCATCCCTCTGTCCACCTGTCCATCCATCCATCCATCCATCCATCCGTCCATCCATCTACCCATCCATTTACCCATCCATCCATCTATCCATCTGCCCATTTGTCCATCCATCCATCCGTCTATCCATCCATCCATCCATCCATCCATCCATCCATCCATCCATCCGTCTGTCCATCCATCCATCCACCCATCCATTTACCCATCCATCCATCCATCCACCCATTTGTCCATCTGTCCATCCGTCTGTCCATCCGTCCATCTGTCCATCCGTCCATCCATCTGTCCATCCATCCATTCATCCATCCCCTCACTCATAGTCACTGGCTCACTAACTCAAAACCTACTTATCTGGGTCCCAGGCCCTGTTCTGCGGGTGCCGGGATACTTGGGACCCATTTCCTTTCTTCTCTAGCTCATGTGGTTAATCAGTCCCCTGAACCCATCTGCCATCTGACACCCCTCCCCTAGAGTGGCTGTCTATTTCAAGAAAGTCTGGTGTGTATGTGTGTGTGGTTGTATGTCTGTGTATACCCAAGTGTGTGTCTGTGTGTATAGGTGCGTTTCTGTCCGCGACCGTGTGTGTTCCCGAGTGTGTGTGTGTCTCGTGTGACTATACTGTGAGTGTATCTTTCTGTCTGTGATTGTGTGTATCCATCTGTGTGCTTGGACAGGGGCAGGTCCTGCGTCTGAGATGACTGTAATGGCTGACGGAGGTCAAGGTCCCTTATGATGTTCAGAGGCTGCAGGGAGAAAAAGCACTGGTCAGCGATCGTGGTTTTGCTCTGCACTATTTTAAAAGTTAAAACACACACACACACACACACACACACACACACACACACCCCAAACAGAAACTCATTGCCCTTTAATAGCTAGGTCAGACTTACGTAAGCGTAGGCCCGGGGCCCAGAGGCCAAAGACTTTGCTGCCTCCAAACCCTACAAGGGCTCCTCCAGCCCTCACGGTGCTAACTGCACCATTCACCACGCGGAGGTCACCCACTGTCTTCAGCATGTCCTTAGTGACCCTTAAAGTGTGGCTTGTCATTCCCATTCAGATGAGGAAATCAAGGCCCCCAGATGCCAGTCATTTGCCCTGAGCCACTTCATCAGCAGGTACCAGGGCCGACGTGTGAACCTGATTTCTTCTGCCAGGTTCAGGCGGGACTGACGGCCTGGTCTGCAGACCCTAGGCAGGCCCAGGCGGTGTCCCTGGCTCTGTCCCCAAAGCCCTTGTTCTTTGTGCAGCTCTGCACGCCATGCCCTGCGCCAACCGCATGCTTTAAAGCAAGGGCTGAGCCGGCCGTTGACTTGCTTAACCAGTGATTTTCCATGAAGAAAGACATCTCCTTCAGCAAGATCAATGAGGACGACACACTCGAGGGAGAGGAAAGTTCTCTAAGCCATCACGCAGCATTGCTGTAACCCACGCCTGTAACCGCTTCCTGACAGTATCGGGGGCCCTGGCTTTTTATAGTTGCACACGGTGCTGAAAACATTCGAGGCCCCCACCCTGAGTTCTGTGTCCTCACGGCCTACCTGTGGGCGAAGCTGGGCTCAGCGGCCCCACCTCAGCAGCCAGCAGATTACCAGCTCAATGTGCAACTTAGAACGCAGGACTGTGGGGCTCCTGGGTGGCTCAGTCGGCTGGGCATCTGATTTCGGCTCAGGTCACGATCTCACGGTTTGTGGGTTCGAGCCCTGCGTCGGGCTCTGTGCCGGGAGCTTGAAGCCTGCAGCCTGCTTTGGATTCTGTGTCGCCCCCTCTCTCTCTGCCCCGCCCCCACTCACACTCTGTCTCTCTCTCTGAAAGACAAATGAACATTAAAAAAAAAAAAGAACATGGGTCTTTGACCTTTTATACCTTGAGCATGTGTGTGTGTGTGTGTGTGTGTGTGTGTGTGTGTGTGTTCTCTTAAGACAAATCAGATCCGGTGGCTCTCCAAAAAGCTGGACCCCTCGTCGTTCAAGAGATAAATCTGTGGGCTAAGTCATCTGGACCCTTATGTATTATCACCGTGGTTGCGTTCTGGCTCTGGGCTGCCCGGTTGTTTGACTTTCATGGCTACTTATTCTCACCACGAGCTCAGGCGTTCGGACTCTGTGTGTCACCGATGCTGAAACTCAGAGCAAGCTGCTGGCTGGAGATCAGTGGTGCAGGAAGCTTGCTTTGTGTGTTTCGTAGCAAACCCCACTGATGACAAGAGCCTCTGAGCTTCCCTAAATGGGTTGAGGACAGAAAACCAATGCAGAGGACCCCTCCCTATCTTGAGTGCGGGGACCAAGCAGCCAGCCCCATTCTGAGCGACCCGGAGCTGTCCGAAAGGGCTCCCAGTGACCAGGGTACATTGCTGCCGATAGGATCCACACCCTACAGGCTCTCGTCTCTCTGGGCTGGGGTTGAAATTGGCCTCACCCCTGACTCTGGCCATGAGGTTCCTCCTTGGTCTGGACAACTAAGTAAAGTAGTAATGTCTCCACCTTCCATCAAGAAGCTGCCAGGTGTATGTGAAAGGCTGACCGGGTGGCTGAAGGCTTGGCCACGGAGCCTGACTGCCTGCATTTAGATTCCACGTCCGTCTCCACCCAGTCCTGTGACCCTGACCAAGTCGTTTGCCTCTCTGTTTCCCGCACCCCTCATCCATAAAAGGAGACGATAATATCATCCGCCTCATGCGATGGTTGTGAGGCACCAACTAATATGCGTAAAATGCTGAGGACACGCGAGGAACATTCCATCGCGCACGGGCACACACTCCACCAGGGTTCGCCCTTCTGATTCTTAGACATCTCACCCTCGAGGGGCGCACGTGGTGCCGATACCACCGCGGCCACGTTACTCGGGAGGGAGAGGTGCTGGGTGACTTGTGAAGTCACCATGTGGAGTTGGCAGCAGGCTGGGGACCATGTTCAGCTGCGTCAGACCGAATTTGGCTTCTGAGACGCGGAGCCTCAACCCTCCTGGCAGCCAGAACCAGTCCCGGCCCCCGGCCCTCTCCCCTCCCTCTGGGTGTCTGCCCCACCCAGTGCTGCCCTCAGCTGCCAGCCCTACCCGCGGGATGGCCTGGCCTCATGGCCATGCCTATGCTCTGCCCATGACCTTCAGTCCTGACTGTGAGGCATAGAGACCCCTGGGACCTCCTGGGGGTGGTTCTGGAACACGCTCTGTTATTTCAGGAACTGTGGCCAGCAGGGATCTCCGGAGGATGGGTCTCCTCCCCTCTGGGCATCTCTCTATTGTCTGTTTTACACAAGGGCTAACAGCACCAATGACTCAGGTGCACACGGGCACCTTGCTGTCCAGCTTCCAGAAGGCCTTCCTCTGCACTACTTTATTCATCCTCTCAGAGACCCAGTGACAGCGGCGGCCTCGGTATACCCATTTCTGCATTTCTGCTGATTTTAGTTTCTGACGTTTTAGCCCAGGGTAGGGTCTAGAATGGAAACGTATTCTGTGGAGTCAGCCAGATCAGTGTTGTCTTTACGTTGGAGTGAGAGGGTACGTATGGTTCGACTCAAGAACACAGCATCTTGTTCTGGATATAAAAACACGTGCGGCCTAATGTGGGGGGTGGGGGTTAGAGCACGGCCAAGGCGGGCTGCTTGGACTGGGGTCTTAGCTCTGCCGGTCACCAGCTGCGTGATGTTGGGCAAGATCCTGAACCTTTCTGTGCCTGGACTTCCCCCTCTCTGAGACAGAGGGGTAAATAACCTTTACCTCTGGGGGTTGTGGAGAGGATTTAATCAGTTAATATGTATGAAGTGCTCACAACTCTACCCGAAATTCAGCAAATACTTAGTAAACGTTAGCTATCTTATTAGTTTTTGTTCCCAAGTTCCCGGTTCCTGGTACATATTAGGTGCTCAGTGAATGAGAATTTCCCTTTCCTCTTGGAGCCTCAGTTTGCTAACCTGCAAAATGGGACTGCCAGTCGTACCTACCTCGTATTAGTGTTGCAGAGGTTGCGTGAGACGGGCACACAGAGTTCCCAGGAGGGTTGGTACCTGGCAGGCGGCTGGAGGCAGCCAGTACGTGGCTGGCCCAGGCCCCTCAGTACAGAGCTGGGTCAGGGAACTGGAAACTCTCTGCCTGGGGTCCCGGAGCCTAACGCACTCTGGAGCCCAGCTGCCTGGATCCGCGGGCTGGCTCGGCCCCTGACAGCATTTGTGGCTTTAGGCAAGTTCCTGAATTTCCCTGTTTCTCTGTTTTCATATCTGTGACAAGGGGGACAATAACAGTAGCTAACTTACTAGCTCTTGTGAGGATTCACGAGATAAAGCGGGGGAAGCTCTTAAGAATCGGAGTGCTCGACCGCAGACGAAGGGCCCTGCGGCTGCACCCCAGTCGAGGCACTCAGCCCACCTCTTCCGCCCTGGGCGGATGACCGGTCCCGCCAACCGTCCAGGCAGGGCGGATGGACCTCCTGCCATTGCCACCAGCCGTGTTTCTAGAAGGGAAATGTTCCCAGCAAGCCGGCGTCTGACACATTTGCACTAACTCTGCAGGCACGACTCACTTGTACAGTGACTCCGTTTCCATCACCTTCTAGGTGGGCATCTATTTCAAAGTCTAAGTCCATCTTCCCTGAGCCAGGAAACATCCTATTTAAGGAGACCTGGGAGGTGGGGCAGGGCGTGGCCCCACAGTTCTCTTCGCACAGGACAGTTCTGGTCCTTGTCCCTGTTCAACCACCATTGGCCCTTGGCCTTAATAGACAAATTTACTCAGTGGATCACTCTGTCCAGTGCCTGCACTTCACAGGTGAGGAAACTGAGGCCCCCGGAGACATTTATTCGTGATCACACAGCATGTTGATATGATATTGATCCGTCCTGACCTCCCAAATGCCTGTGGACATCCATGGGAAGGGTCCTGGGGCTTCCAAGTGTGGATGAAAGATACAGAGCCCTGATGTGGCCCTGAGGTCTCGGGCCGAGCTGGGGTGGGAGGGAGACCATCTAGACTACGTGTCCTGAGTCTGCCTTCTCTTCCAGGGTGGCTCCGCGTTGTCCCCAGCTGCTGTCATCAGCCAGGAGAGGGCTCGGCAGCAGGCAGCTGCTTTGGCAGAGGAGGTCGGCTGCCCCCCCCCGTCCATCCAAGACATGGTGTCCTGCCTCCGCCAGAAGCCTGCGAGCGTCCTTAATGACGCCCAGACCAAGGTGGGCACCTGCATGCACATTGGGGAGGGACACTCTCTAATCTTTTACAAGTGGAAAACCAGGCCTAGAAGGGACACCTGACCCACCCAAGGCCACGTGGTAGGTTGATGACCAGTCGGAACTGGAATGCACATTCCTGACCCCAGCACCGTGCCCGGGCCCAGTATGTGATGGACCAAACATGGGCACGGAAGGTGGACAGAACTGGCTGCACACTGGATTTAATCTGTAAGATATAAATACAAAATACAATAGGGGCTTTATACACTGGGAAGATAAAATGAAGTGACACGTGCGAAGGGTCTCACCTGTGCCGGGACCGTGGTGGCACGGTGTCAGGTGACAGCCACACGGATTAAGCACTGTGGTCACAGCTGCAGTGGATCGGGGCCAGCCCATCCTCTTAGATAGGACAGCTGTGCGCTCCCCTTTCCAGACTCAGAAGACCCTGCTTCCAGCCCACAGTCTCGGGCTGTCCCTGACATTGATGAAGGGGACAGTAGCAGGAAACACTATTATCACCTCAGCCAAGGGCTTGATTCCTTCAGCTTTGGGCCCGGACCCACCGACCCGGAGCAGGTCTGACCCCCAGCTCCCCCGGGCGTGGGCTAGTGAGACAGCGGCTAGAGCTGATGAATTTCCCTTTTGGGTCCTGTCTCTGGCCACCGCCCGTCCCTCAGTCGGTGTCCTGCCTCCCTCACACACACCTACGGGCTCAGGCTTGCCCATTCCTCCCTGTGGATCCGTCCTCACCGTGGCACGGAAACCCTGGGCAGCTCCCTGCGGACCAACCATCGCTCAGAGCGATACTTGCCTTCCTGTTGCCTGTGGCCCAGTGTCCTTCCTACCTGTTGTCCTTGTCATTTTCCTCCGATTTCCCCACACGGCCCCGGACTATGGATAGCCAGCGTCAGCGTCCATTATGGTTAAAACCCGACCAAGCGAAGCAATGCAACTGATTCTTCTAGAACCATTTTTTTAAAGAAAGGATAAAATCCATACACATAATGGCCTCCCTTTGCACCCAATGTAGCTCCTGGCCGTGAGTGGCCCTTTCCACTACTGGGGTCCTGTGGTTGATGGCCAGTACCTCCGCGAGGCTCCAGCCAGGGCACTGCAGAGGTCTCCGCGGACAAAGGTCGATCTGCTAATTGGGAGTTCTCAAGATGACGGGCTCATCAACAGAGCGAAAGCCGTGAAGGTAGGCGGGGCAGAGCCTCAGAGGTCCCCTGAGGACTGTGCCCCAGTGACTCTGGTCCTTAAAGCCTGACCGGGGGCCCAGAGTCATTGACTTACTTGCTCATTTACAAACCAATCGCTAAAAACCTGCTGTGGGCACAGGCTGCATAAGGACCGTGGGAGATGGTAATGGGTGGAGTCGTTTTGGACCTAAGACACTTGCAAGGTTGTGAGCAACACAGACGTCTTCGCCTCCACATCCACAAACCCCATCTGTGAGCAAATCGCCACGGGAAGCAGCGAGCAGAGGCTGACCGAGGAGCTTGTGAGCTTCGGGCTTCCAGGCTGTGGGTGCCCTTGCTCCATGAGGGATGCTTGTCCCTCTGAGGGCTGGAGAAGGACAAAAGGGTGCCCTCTGCTATCCTGGCAAGGCAGCCCAAACACCATATGGGTTTTCTTACCTGGGGAAGCTGGGCGGGGTCATACCCTGCACCTGGCAAAGGCCACTTCGTATGGCTGCTTGGAGACACAGCAAAGTGAGAGACAGTTGTGAGGTCTTCCGTCCCTTTTTTTTTTTAAGTTTATTTATTTATTTTGTGAGACAGAGAGTGTGAGCAGGGGAGGGGCAGAGAGAGAGGGAGAGAGAGAGAATCCCAAGTAAGCCCTGCACTGTCAGCACAGAGCCCGATGCGGGGCTCAAACTCACAAACCATGAGATCATGACCTGAGCCGAAACCAGGAGTCAGGCGCTTAACCCACTGAGCCACCCAGGCGCCCCAGTCTTTTGTCTCTTTGAACACTCACTTCCTGCTCTGACCAGGCGCCCTCACCACGAAGTGGCCGGCCCTGAAAGAGGCCGGGTAGGCTCTCCTCTGGCCGGCCTCGTCAAGCCACTCTCGACACACCCTTTAGGCTGCCAAGCCCGGGATGGTGACTGCCGAGTGCAAAAGAAACAGTGAGAAGACACACTCAACACGGGGCACTGTCTGGCTCCATTGAATATGAGGCGGCGTAACTGGAATTTAAAAAAAAAAAAAGTCATTCATGCAGCCTAATGGCGTCCTGCATTGCCTCGGATTGTTCTGTTCCCTCCGGTAATATGTCTCACTTAGGGGAATCTGTCTCACAGCAGTAAAAACACCACTCTGACCTGATATATACATACAAGAGTATTTATCAGGGCGTTAATTATTGTGGCAAAACGTTGGAAGCAACCCAAATGTGCATTAACGGAGCAATGGTGGCCTGAGTTGAGCTGCACACAAACTGTAAACTATGATGCGGGAGGTGGGAGGGACGGACCGGATACATCTCTGCTGACTTGAGAGGTACGTGTGATGTGCCGTTAAGTGGAAAACAAAACATATTGGGGAGCAACGTGAAATTAAGGTAGCGTCCGTATTTTTTTAAAACAGCCAGCCTGTACGCATCTGTAAATATGTAAATGCGCGTAGTTTTATGTTTCTTCCTGAAAGGATTATAGGGTGGAAAGTTCTACCTACAGCAAGCACGAACATTGGCTATCTCAGAAGAGACGGCAGTGTGAACAAGAATATTATGAATTTAATATTACTTGGGGCCCCTGGGGGACTCAGTCGGTTCAGCGTCCGAGATTTCAGCTCAGGTCATGAGTTTGTCTCGTGGTTCGTGAGTTCAAGCCCACTTCGGGCTCTGTGCTGGCAGTGTGGAGGCTGCTTGGAATTCTCCTCTGCCTCTCTCTCTGCCCCTCCCCTGCTCTCTCTCTCTCTTTCTCTGTATCAAAAGATATAAACATTAAAAAATTTTTAAATAATACTAATATTACTAAACACATATGCATATATTGTATATATATGCATACATGCTACATATAACGTGAATAATATGTGTATATAGAGGTATGTGTGTAGATGGAGAGAGTAGTGTGTGTGTGTGTGTGTGTGTGTGTAGAACTTAGTCACTATTAGCTTCTGTCCAGTTGAGAAAGAACTTGTACATTTCTGATCCATTTCTGCGTCCATTTCTACATCTTTCTGCCGATCACCCGCGTATAACAAGGCCCTTATTTCAAGGGGCTGCAACTTAATTATTGAACCAGACTAACGCTCAGGAAGCCCTGACAAGATGCCCCTTCTCCACCACTGGCCCCAGCCTTTCTTCTCTCAAGTTGTGGGTCTTTGGATGACTTCTGATCTAGCCCCTCGTTAGTTCAAAAGTAGTAAATGGAATCATTTTAGTAGAAATTATTCACAGGTGTGCTCCTGTACTAATATGCGGCATTGCTACAAAAGATTCGTGGAAACGTAACAAATTTAAAGCATGGGAAAGAGATGAGTGTTTTTAGATTCGTGCTGCGCCATCGGCGTGCACCGCGCTGGAGACGATGCCCTGTGGCATGGGCACAGTGGACAGAAATGGCCACTGGCCTGGCCCCTTTTCCATGCAACCCCTCATTTTATGTTGCCCTGCGGGGATGTGGGAATCTTTGTGCTGGAGAGACAATATGCACACAGCTCTGATTCTTTGGACTGCGTGCTGACAATTTATGCCAGCCATCTCTGACTTTAGAGAGAGGAAGGGCTACTTTTATACTCCCAGGAGCCTGGGGATCACCCTAGATAGGGGGGTGCAGGTCCTGGGACCCCTCCACTCGGAGTGGAAAAGTCTCCACGACCCGGGGGCTGCGGGCTCTTAAGAATTTGGGGCTGTGGTGGCCCAGAGGGCAGCCCTGATCTGTGTTACCTGATTATGCCAGCCCATTGTAAGAGGGTTATGTGGCCACGTGGCCACCTTGGTCTTCCCTGGTCCTCTCTTGTAGCATGTTGGAGAGTTTCCCAGCTCTTTCCTGAAAATCTGAGCCCCCCACCCACCCAGCCAGGAGCCTGGATCCAGAGGGCTGGGGTCCCTCCTCAACAATGCATTTTCCATCCTCTCATTGACTTTCCCTCTGAGGCTTTCAAGAAGATGTTTCCTGGGCGCACGCCCAAAGAAAGGTTGTGTCTGCTGACAGGAGCTCACTGCCCAGACCAGGACATGGCTGGCAAAGTGTGCCCTCGAGCCCGGGCACCAGAATAGGGAAGGCGCTCCGAGGGCATGGCGGAGCAGCGGCCGGCCCTGTTCCACGGCTGTTATCCAAATCCCCGTCCTGGGCCAGTGCCGCCCTGGGCACATTTACTCCTGGTTAGAGCCTCCCTCTCTTACTTCCCTTCTCCGATCATTCTCCTCTGAACATGTGCTAGCGCAGCCCCTGATCTTGTGATCTTGTGAGCCTGGTCCTGCCGGGAACCCATCGGGTGCTGATGCGGGGAACCGAGAGGGAGCAGGACATAGTGACAGTCGGAGTTGAAGCTGGCATCTCTCTTCCGATGCCATTAGGTGCTGCTGTCTCCTGAACGTGTGCCTCCAGCCCTGCCTTACACCCCCAGCCTGGGCTTCTCCCTGGGGCCCTAGACTGGTTTGGCTCACAGTCTATTTGCCATCGTCACTTACACGTCTTACAACTCCCAGCTCCTAACACACCCAGAAGCAGCTGCCGACTCGCCTGCGTCCCGCCCCAACGTGCATGTTCTCCTGCTGAATTCATCTCACTGAACAGCGATCCTGCTTCTGTGTGCCGGGCTGCAGGCTAAAGGTCGCCTTCACTCGGCTCTCCTCCACCCTGCCAGCATTCTGTCCGCAAATCTGGTTGGCTCTATCTTCCAAGTGCGTCCAGGATCCAGCCACCTCTCACTGTCTCTTCTGCCACCACCCTGAGCCATGCCACCAGCCTTCTCCAGGACTTTCGTAACAGCCCCCAACCGGCTCCCTGCACCCCCTGCGGTCTATGAGGACCACAGTGGCCAGAGCTATCCCTTCACACTAGGTCCGATCCTGTCACCCCCACCTCCTACTCAAAGCCCTCCGGTGGCCTCAGCTCCTGCAGAGGAAGTCATAGTCCTTGAAAGACCACTACCCGATGCAGACCCCTATTCACTCTGTGACCCCACCTCCTGCTACCCGCCTTACTCTCTCCGCTTAATCCCAACTGACGGCTTTGGTGTTCCCCAGCTATGCCAAGCATGCTCCCATCTTAGTGTTTTGACACTGGCTGTTCCCTCTTCCAGAAGGTTCTCCAGATAACTCATCGCCTCACCTCCTTCAGGGTCTGCTTCTTCAGAGAACTTGCTTGACCCCTCAGGTGGAAAGGGCAGCCGTATCCCTAACATTCTCTCTCTCTTCCTTATCCTGCCCCCCCCCGCCCCATCTTCTGCATTCACACCCCTTGATGTGTTAAATATTTGTTTATCTACTGTATTTCTTCCTCAACTAGACTGCGAGGCCCACGAGCACTGAGACTTTATCTGTTTTGCTTTCTGCTTTATCTCCAGTGCCTAGGAAAGTGGTACACAGTAAGGGCTCAACGACTCTTGATTAGATCGAAAGGACACCAGTGGGGAGACCCCACTGTGTGCCAGAATCTAACCTAGGAGCCTTCAAGGAAATAGTTCATCCTAAAACAACCCTATGAAGCAGGGTTTATCATCCATTATCTATTATTTATTCAGACAAGAAAGCAGCTCAGAGAGAGCAGAACTCAAATCCAGATCTAACTCCAGAGTCGTCCTCTTCCTGTTCCAGCCGGGAAAAGCCGGGTCTTCCCTCCAAGGGCTTCTCACCGGCCGAGGGTGGTGGGTAGTCGTGTGCACACAAACACAGCTGGCACCAGGGCTGTGAGGTGCAGACGGCTTTGCACTTTCACCTGCCCACGAACTGGTATTTTACACCATTTCGTCGAGGAAGTGGCTTCCAGAGATCATCACATGAGTCATGGGCAAAGCCGGGTCTCCACTGCAGATCCTCTGGCTCCCAATGGGGTGCTTTGCTCACCACCCCACGTGTGCTAAACCCAGGGACGGCGAGTGCATCGGCACCCCCTGTATGCCCTCCCAGACACCATCGGAGCCCCGAGGAGTCCTCGGAAGCCTGGCCAACACAGGACTGCAGCACTAGTGTGGACACACGAGTGGGAACCTGGCCACCAGCTGCCCTTTCTACACAGTATTG